GTGACCAGTTTGGTTGCATTGGGCGCCAAATCTTGGGCATGCTGCCAGAGATGCCACAACTATGATTTGCAATGGAGCACGAGAGGCGGGGGCCAGAGCGGGAGTCAGGAGCAGGTTGGCAATAAATCACATGGCATCAGTGAAGTTAACTCTTCAATGGAACAAGGTCAACTCAGGAGGCCAGGCCTAGTGAGCCCAGAACTATTGCCAGTAGATCTTGCCCCAATGAGGCAGTCATGAGGACTGAAGGTCCCCGCCTTTCCACAGTTGCCTAAGTCTTCTCCTTCCCTGGGTCCTTTCCTAGCAATCTGAGACTTTGTCTTGCCTGCCTTTGCTCCACCATCTTCATACCTCTCCTGGTTCTGGGAGACATGGGCTTCTTTAGCAGCCTGCTTCTCCCACCCTCTTTAGCCTCCTTTTCTGCTCTGATTCTACATTGCTCTCTTCCACAGACTCTTCCTGCTCACCAAACTCTGATACCTCTTCAGCTTCTGACATACCTTCCTCCCAGTCTGCTCCCTCTACTCCCTCTGACCAGTCATCATCGTCCCACCACCAATCCCCTGGCTCTGAGCCTTCTTCCCCATCTGGTGCCTGCCACCACTCCTCTTCATCCAGCCAGTCCATGGCAGGTGGAAGGACACTGAATTTTGGCATTACAGAGGACACCACTGAAATTTGAGACCCCAAAGTCCACCATTGCTGATGTATCACTTTGGTTGTTTTGATTTGTTTGAATGGAAGCAAAATGTGAATCTTCTGTTTGGAAGAAACACCTGAGGAATCTTGAGGGAAGCAAGCAGCGTTCCAGTAAGACCAGCAAAATTTCACCGGGTGTTTGCCATTCTCCTACTAAAAGGAAAAGCAATAGCCAGTGGAGATTGAATCTAAGTCTTCACAATGGACAAGGTTGAAATAAATGACCTTGATGCTTTTTCTAACCTTACCATTTTCTCATGTTAGGGGAAATAAATGGGAACTCAACTGAGAAGGAGTATTTCGTTTGCAGCTCCTGCAAACTCAGGAGGCATATTTTATATAATCAAATGGGGAAAGATTGTATTTATGAGGCTATAATTCCATCTGGAGATTCCGAGGACCCCATAAAGCACTTCAGTTTCACTCAAAGTTTATGTCCCTAGAACATTTCAGTAGAATGGAGCTCATAATTCAGTGACTTGTGGAAGGCTCCTTTTGCCCATTTTACTAAAAATTTTGCTTTCACTTACTCAGAGAAATCTATTTACCTTTTGGGTGCTCTTACATGTCTTTGAGATCACCTTCACTATTTTATGAAGTGGATATATTCGGTTTTTGTATGCACAATAACTTCTTATGTTGTGCGCAGAAATAAGGATGATCACACCCAACTATGAGAATAGCAACTTGCATCAAGCAGCAATCAGATTTTCCCAAAAAAATAAAAGCTTCCCCAAATATAGCACGATATTGTTCACATTTTACATTCTGGACAATTCCTTTCATGCAGATAGACATGGTTGTGATAAAGATCAAGTGACCATATAGGTATCTCCAATATTATTTTATATTAGTCAGATGCTGCAAATATTGAATGAACCCAAGAATGCTCTGTTGGTCTATTCATCTTATCGCACCCATGCCATCTGATAGCAAAACAAAGGCTTAATTAGATTTCCCAGTAATATAATACATTTTGTATACCATTTCTGCTAATTTACATAGTTTTGTATGCATTCCTTGGTGGAAGAATAACACTAAAATATCTGGAAAATATAATAAATTCAAAAATGAGTTGGGTTTTAGTTCATGTACTGTTTCACAAAAGTGTGAACCTGGGAAATCCACATAAAAATATAAAGTAAATGAATTTCTTCCCCACCTCTAGGAAAACATGTTCCTTTATCTTAGATTATGCATTTGTGTGTGATAAAGAGAAGGTGCATCTAAACTTGTTCCTCTACCTATTGATGCATAGTAAGTATTGCTCAGAATATGCAAGCCTGCCCTGCTACATTTGTCTGAAACAAAGGTTGATTCATTTAAAAAAGAAGAGGAATAAAGGACAAAAGTAAGATGTTCAGCACAGTGTGGCAAATGCACACCTGACTGCATCAGGTCAAGTTGTACAAAGCAATCAGATCTGAAGCTATTTTTGAACACTCATTGCCAGTGGGTTATTACCTACAAGCGGTGAGTCAGCACAGTTATCCATGGGATATAGTCAGTAGCAGGTGTTCTGCTGCCGGCATATCTCAGTTTAGGATTTATAGGATTCTTTCTTATGTCACGTTAGCTTAGTTCTCTGCTTCCCTGGCCTTGTGCACATGGTCAACAGCCATTCTAAAACCTCAGGGAGGGAAAAACACAATTTCTTCCTCTTTGTGGGTGATAAGATGGTTTGGGGTTACTGAAACAGTTGCCGTTTCAGGAAACAGTCATATCTGCAGGCCAGTTAAACCAGCAGACTTAAATTGTAAACTGATATAGGCTGCAATTCTATGCACATTTACACAGGAGTAAATCCCACTGAAAACAGATGGCCTTACTGTGGGGTTTAGGGTTGAAGTGCAAACAAGGATGTAGGAAGGCAGAGAATTCCATTTTGACCTGCTTTGGCCACAATCAGCACTGTTTCTGTTTCACTGCAGTTTGGTTTCTGCCAAATCCTACATTATTCATCCTACTGTTCACTATTTAAGGTAAATTACATAACTATTTATGTAACTAGCATTCATTTGAATGTGAAGGAAACATCAAAGCAATGTATAAAACACGGGTAGGCAAACTAAGGTCCAGGGGCCGGATCCGGCCCAATCACCTTCTAAATCCGGCCCATGGACAGTGTGGGAATCAGCATGTTTTTTACATGAGTTGAATGTGTCCTTTTATTTAAAATGCATCTCTGAGTTATTTGTGGGGCATAGGAATTCGTTCATTCCCCCCCCCCTTCAAAATATAGTCCGGCCCCCCACAAGGTCCGAAAGACAGTGGACTGGCCCCCTGTTAAAAAAGTTTGCTGACCCCTGGGCTAAAACAACCCTGCTATTGATTAGGTATAATTTGCAAACTTGACAACAACAACAATGATGTGAAGAAATACTAATAATATTTACGGATTTCCATCCCTGACCATAGATGGACACACAAACTGCACCAATTTTGGCTTCCTTTTCTGTTTTTATCAGCATTCCCTGACATCCCTAAATACACATTACACTGCCTCTATCAGATTAACTTGACTTCAGTCCATATATTTAGCATTAACTAATAAGGCTTACATGTGGTTAAAATACCCTGGGTGCTTACAAGAATACACACACATACAGACACATATACATCTATATACATACATATATGGCATGCTAGCTTTTTATTTTTTTTACCTTACTACTCGTTCATTCAACAAACAACAAGCAAAATTATAACAGGGTGCTAAGAAGAACTGCATATTCACGCTATCTATGAACATATCAACAAGCTGTCAACTAGCCAGGTCACCCACAGGGTTAGGCACACACATGGAAGGCATGGAATGCAATTAGCTTTTTATTAGCAGAAAAATAACAGCACAGCAATATTCCTGGTTCATCTTAATGAAGGCATTGCTAAAATTAAGCTCTAGTCATGCCCCTGCCCTCTAGTCTCTCACTCTGGATCCATCCCAAGTAGATGAAGGCTGCATTGAGGGGACAGGCTCCTTCTCTAGGCCTGTCTTGTATGTTGCTCAAAGACATGCAGGACCCTCCTGGAGCAGGGGGTCAGAGAGGGAGGAGAGTCAGCAGGACTGAGACTATCTGTACAGGGGCATATCTAGCTGCTCTGACACCTGGAGCGGCAGGGGCAGGACGAGCTGCCCATGGAGCACCGGGGCGATCTGTCCAGGGGGGCACTGCGGCAAGCTGCCCACAGAGTCCGCTGGCAGATGCAAGCCCTACACTGCTGTTTCGGGCAGCACGGGACCCCGAGCCACCGCATCACTTCTGTGATGGCCTGGGACTCAGGCTCGGGCTCGGAGCCAGAGAAGTCTCAGTCCGCACTGGATCCTTTGCCTCAGGCGGCATCTGAACCTAGTCTGGGGCCTGATTCTGAAGAGCCCCAGTCTGCACAGGTTCCCCTGCAGCAAGCACCAGCTGGGCCAAGTCAGGGGCCTGAGCCTGGCCTGGCTCCAGATGTGGGGATTACCTTGTTGCCTTCAGCTGGGCAATCACTTACAGCTGCTCCACTACCAATTGGGTCAGGAGAGGCTGAGGCGGCCTCTGGGTCTAGTAACATCTCCCGAGCTGCAGAGACTGAGGTCTGAGAGAAGGAGAGACCTGAGTACTCGCAGGAGGAGTGCTCGCCTTCAGGTGAGACAGGGAGGTGAGTCACCGGGGATCAGGACCGGCCATTACCCCGACAGAGATAAAAGGCTGCTGGACCCCACCCCAGGTTGCGGGAGCAACGTTGCTGTTTGCCAGAACTTGCCTGTGATCCTGTGCCTGACCTAGCCTGGTTTCCTGCCTTGGCCCTGTTGGACTGACTCCTTGTAGAACCCTTGGATTTGGGACCGGACCTGGACCGCTTTACTTGGGTTACCCCCGGGCCCAGCACAACTTCTAGGAGAGACACGTGGCTCGGGTACGCTGCAGGCTAGGCCCCGCGGTAAATGCCATCCCCAGCGGTGTGCCATTTTGTCACCCCCTAAGGGGTAACACCCGGGGTGGACTGTACCCCCTGCACCCCCTTCCTATGCCCCTGTATCTCCACACATGCTATAATTCTCTGCTTCTAATCCTGTCCTGGAGGGCCCTCCTTCTCCTGACTCCCCTTGATTGCTCAAGTCTTCTGTTTCTATCAGCTCCTTGCTTGTCCGTTCTGCTGACTGCTCCTCAGTGTCCCACCACCAGGCTCTGGGCTCTAAACTATTGTCTTTGGAGCCTTCTCTGAGGGGCTCTTGGGAGACAGGCTCCCAGCAGTCTTCTTCATCCAGCCAGAACAGAACAGAACATATGATGCCTCTTATGACATCAGTCCATTCAACCACCTAGCTCAGAACTGGTGGCTGGCGGCAGCTCTCCAAGATTTGAGAATGGGACATAACTGAAGATGCCAGGGATTGAACCTAGAATCTTACTCATGCAAAACAGATGTTCTACCATTCGGCTATGCCCCTTCCCCTAATGTCTACTAAAATGGTGGTGTCTGATTCTTAGGTCTCTGCTTACGGCAAACTTACCAGGTTAGCTAGTAGTCTGTTAGTCTGCCAATTATAGTTATATACATATATAATTCTAATTTGATTACATGTGTCGCATCCGGTCTCTCTTAACAGCAAAACCCTTTTATTCATTAGTGAATATGGCACTGAAATTCTTCGCTAGTGGGAAAGAGGCAAAGAATTTAATTAACTCAGCAAGTAAAATGCATGCAGCGACAATGAAGTAAATTCAGAGAAAATAAAATTCTAATAGAATTTTTTTGTGGTACTGTGAAAAAACATAATGGAAGTTGATTTGATTTAGAGATTTCAATAAACTCAGAAATAATGGCCTTGTTAGGAATTTGTCACTAGGAAAAAAAGAAATATTTTGATGCTACACTTTGGAGAGACATGAATAGCTCATCTCACACAAATTAAATTTGGACCTTTAATATATATTTTTTATTTTAAAAGTGCAAGTATTTTGCTCATAAAAACATTTATAGTTTTAATTCAGCTGAGGATTGTGTTTGTGTGATACACCACACACTGATCGAAAATAAAAGGACAGCAAATAAATCAAAAGGCAGCACAACTGAAAGTGGTTAAATTCTGTTAACAAGTAATTAAATGTACGGCAGCGAGAGCAAAGATGGTGGGTTACTCTTCTTGTGATGACCAATGATTTTCAGCTAATAAATTTGACTAACTGACTTGATTTGATCCTTAACAGGCACCAGATTTTGTGCAAGATGTGACATTCTTAGACAGCTGGCAAAGGGTTACCACAATGCTATCAAATGAAATATCTGACTGGAAAATTGCCCAGAAGACACTTCCCTGCTTTCTACAACATGGTGTGCAGGTTGTCCTGGGTGGGGTAGAGATCCTTTTGAAGCAAATGTATAAACACAAATTACCAAACACACATCTGTATATGTCATTACCTTTAACAGAAATAGTTCCTGTCCAAGCAAGGTTGACTTGCCTATTACCTTATTAAGCTGAAATTGCTCATAGATTTGCATAAGAAATAGGGAACTATTTCATGTGGCAGCTTGTTTGGATACCATTTTAATAGTGTGTATCTCAGCAATTTGCCTTTGACAACAAAAATAATAATAAATGTTGTTTACAGCAAAGTCTAGATTATCCTGTAACCTTAAATGCCAGTGGATGAAAGACTTTGACCTTGTACTATTGAATTAGGTAGACTTTTGTCCATGCATGTTTCTGTGAACAGACACACTTTCTCCTCAAAATTGCCAGTGACATTTTTTATTGAAATAGGTCAATTATTTCTTGTTAAAAAACAAACAATCAAGCAGAACACTTGTATTTCATGAAATCCATTAGTGCTAAGTTGTTGGTTTTTTTGTGGGGGGTGTTTGTTTGTTTGTTTGGGTTTTTTTTTTTGCTATCAATGAAAGTGGAATGTTTTTCATAAATGTATTATAAGGTTATAGGTGCTCAATAGGTCAGGAAAAAAAATAAGTACAATGGCTTCATTGAATTATGTGAACAAATAGCAATTAAGGAAACAAAACCAACAAAATACATAGATACTTTTGATATATGTTTAGAGACAGTCAGTGTTGGTTATCTAGAGTGTGTCTGAGGGTGAGTGAGAAAGACAAAGAGAATTTAATGCATCTATTGTTATTTGATGGTATAGAAACACTATAGAATACCAGATTCTACCTTTAACTGTACTAATTAGAAGTGTGTTGTTGTTACTGTTACTGTTACTGTTACTGTTACTGTTACTGTTACTGTTATTTTGGGGGTGTTAAAATTATCTGATCAGTCATAGATTGGGTGAGCAAAAGAAATTGCTTTGAACTGTTCAGGACAGCTTGCTTTCCTCAAAAGTTTTGAAGACACCCCTTCCCCTGAAAGCAGGAGAAAATTAGTCCCTTTTTTCAGGGGGGAAATATGGTACTTTTGGAAAAGTATGGAGGGAAGTTTCTGCCAACCTTGGAACCAATTCCTTAAGAGGGGCGATGGCTCCTGCCTCCCTATCCCTACCCTCCTTCTTTGTGGCCAAATTAAAGTACTTTTTCAGTTCTTCTAAAGGTAAAATCGGTTATCTGGCTTGCCACCTCCCTTTATTTGGAAAACCACTAACAAGGAGTCCAGGTGGCACAGAAAAACCTTGGGGGAGTTGTATGCAGCTTGTGTACTGAAGGTTAGCTGTTCCTTTATTAGGGCTGGGGTCTAATCTCAGTGGCAGAATTTCCAGATAAAAAGTGGTGAGGTGACTCTGACTGAATCCTTGGAGAGCTACTGCAAGTCAATGTAGGCCAGGAGTGACCAGTGAGCTTCCTTGGAATAATATTCCATAATTGGGGTCCTGCAACTGAGGAGGGCCTCTCCCCAGTTGCCACACACTTCACTTTTGTCAGGGACTGTGCTGAGGAGGGCTGCACTGTAATGGTGGCAGCCTTCCCCTTCTCCTGCTCCTGAATGGCTTGCAGAGGGGCATAGTTCAGAAGGCAGAAGCTGGGAAATACTGGATGGGGAACAGCTAGGAAAAAAACACTGGGAGAGAGAGGTTTAACAGATTTACAGTCTCTGGATAGCATTTCTCCGCTCAGCCCAAGGTCGAGAAGTGCGCAGAAAGTCTCAGTACAGAAAGCACAGAGGGTACAAGCTCAGATTACAAGACATAGGAGTGAAATAGATCAATAGGGACTGGAGGGGTGTAAGCCTTAATTGGGAGTACCGCCATTCTGGGTTGACACTTTTTGTCCTTTGCTGTTTTTATTAGAGAAAATAACTGGTAAGAATTCCTTTAGTTTGATCTCCTCATATATGGCCATGGGAGAGGAAGTCAATTCAAGGAAGCCTGACAACTTTGCATACTCACAAGGCTATGGGAAGCACTCAAACTGCATGCTTACAAAGGTCTTGAAGTTCTGTGAATGAAGTTACTTCATTAGTAACAAAAACCTCAATGCTTGTCAAGTCCCAGTGGCACAACTGCTTGTGCTAACTCAAATATTTTGTTTCAGATTATTGTAGCAGCAATGAGAAAATGGTCCAGTCTGAATGGTAAATTTGTTTCGGATGAAAATCAAAAGCAGAATCCTTGCTGACCTGCTAAATGTGTGCTACACCTTTCTATTTAAAAGCTATCTGCAGTCATGATGTCTGTTTATTTTTTCAGAAGATATGCTCAAGACCATATTGAGCAGCGTACATATTCATACTGCTAAATCCAAAATGGGATGCTTCTGCCTTTGATAGAAGTGCATAATTCCACCATGGGTGATAAATCAGCCAAGATCTATCTGTGCAATCCATCACACAGATGCAACAAATTCACACTAAATGATAGCTTAGTTCAAAAACTAATATGAGAGCTTTTGGGATCACATGTCTCATTCATAAATCTTTAGGCACATCATAACTCCTTTATGAAAAACCATATAAAAGGAAGAAAATTTCAAATGCATTATCTCAAGACTTCATAAATATTTAGGCTGCAATGCTATCACACTTATTTAGAATTAAGTCCCACTGAATTCAATGATACATTCTCTCAAAATATGGGCTATAAACGGGTGTCTACTTAGGAAGTTGTAGGTATTTATGGAAGGGAAAAAATAGTGCCCAGTGGCACCCCATAGCAAAGCATAACTACTGAAGCCCCCCTAAAGCATTCTCCTAGTCATGCTTTCTGGACCCGGTTCCATAGCCAGGGCTGGAATTACTAGAACACAGTGTCCCGAATTCCTATTCCACAGAGCCAGTACAGGAAGAAGCTGATCAATGGTATCAAAAGTTGCAAAGAGACTGAGAAGCAAGAGCAAGGCCACACTCCCCTTGTCATGCTCTCTGTAAAGGTCATCCCAGCACAACTAGAAGCATCATATTAGATATGGGGAAGAAATGGTGAATCTACCTAATCTGCGCTTTCTGAGACAATGTGTGAAATGAGGCACAGCTGTTCTTTGAAATTCACACTTTCCTGAATTTTTCAAAGCAGTTTTGCAACCAAGCAATATGTACAAAAATGCACATAGTCGGGTGCATACAAAAGCATGTATGTGTGAAAAAAAGCATACAAAATGCATTCTATTAGGGGGGAAATGCTTGTGGAAGCCATATGTACCAGAAAAAATTGGCACAAAAATGGTGGTGAATTTTCATGGGAACTTTAAAAACCCACAAGCTGATATGGAAATATGGATGACTGAATTTAAGGTTGGAAAAATGAGGCACTAATAAAACAAAAATTGAAAAGCTGAACATCCAGCGTGGCTTCCACGGCTTCCAATTGGCTGCAGGACACTCCTGCAGCCAATCGGAAGCTGCGCCTTGGTTTCTGAACATTTCGGAAGTCAAACGGACTTCTGGAATGCATTCTGTTCAAAAACCAAGGTACAACTGTATTCACCTAAAGGTTTTCAGCAAAGGTTTTCTGTGGGGAAGGAATTCCAGTTTTGGGGTTAATGTAACACTTTAGAACATGGGTAGGGAAACTAAGGCCCGGGGGCCGAATCCGGCCTAATCGCTTTCTAAATCCAGCCCGCGGACGGTCCAGGAATCAGTGTGTTTTTACATGAGTAGAATGTGTGCTTTTATTTAAAATGCATCTCTGGGTTATTTGCGGGGCCTCCCTGGTGTTTTTACATGGGTAGAATGTGTCATTTTATTTAAAATGCTTCTCTGGGTTATTTGTGGGACATAGGGATTTGTGCATTATTATTTTTTTCCAAAATATAATCTGGCCCCCCACAAGGTCTGAGGGACAGTGGACCGGACCCCTGTTGAAAAAGTGGAGGATTCCCATTGCAGAAGCTGTACTCATATATCACAGGATATCTGGGCATGATGCAAAGTGAAGTACGAACAAGTTGACCACTGTTTCATTTTCTCATAACTCCTCTGGGTCTTCATTCTTCAGTAGGGTCATGATAAAACTTGCAACCTCCACAAGCAAGCAGGCAGAGTCATGGCTCTCCCCTGGTGGCTTCTGCCACCGCCTTCCATTGGGATGCCCTAGTGGCCCAAGTGCCAGAAGGAGGTATAATTCGCTGAGAAAGTCACCTACCTGGGGGGCGAGGCCATGCTTGAAGGGCGAAAAACACAACAATACCTTGACCACAGGTGGCCATGCAGGTCATTATAGGAAACCTTATTGCAACCACCTTTGCTACTCTGCCTTGTCTGGACCAAAAGGATGTGGAGGTGCTGGAAGCCACACCTTCAAATGAAGTTCAGGGCTGGAAGGATGGAATTTGTGGTGGATTCCGGCAGTTTCACAAATAGTATAACCACAATGTGTCTCTCCACCCCACCCCCTTGCAGCAAGCTAGCTTATTATGAAGGCTTTCAAAAGAGGCACCATGCTAGGTAACTGGGAGATTTCCTGTTCTGCATAAGTGGATAATATTTCAAGGTGGAGACCAGAATATTTTTGCTAATTTTAACACTGAGAGTTTCCGGGAAATGGTTCCCTGCTTGCTTTTAGACTCTCCTGTCCATGATGATGATTCTGTTTCAATAATAAAATATATAAAAAGTTAAAAATAAATCTTGCAGTTAGGATATATAAAGTAGTCATCCCAATTACTAAAAATTATACTTATGCTGCTTAATTCTGCATTTCAGTAGTGTTTAATATGTTTAAAGTTGCTGCTCCTCTATAGTGTCATTCTTTTCTCTTTTTTTGTACTTCTTATCCTAAACCAGTGTTCTTCGGCCTCAAATCTGTGGATGTTGGGATTACAATGCTCACCATCCCTGACCACTGGCTAAACCAACTGGGGATGATGGGAACTGCAGTCCTTCTACAGACCCAAAGCTGAAGAGCCATGTCCTAAGTCATGCTTGATAAATATTGCCATTTGATTTGTGATGATAATTCCCATGATTGTGTTTGGTGAAATTTTTGACTGCAGCATTATCACTAAATAAGGTAAGCCACTCCAGTCAATCAGATTGAATGTGAGTGTGGGAAAATAAGCCTGAGCACATTGGGATCAGGGAGAACATAGGACTACAACTGATTGAAACTAAGAATGCCTGCATTTGGATATCCTGAAAAACTATTATTTATTGTGATGTGAATGAAACTAGCCTCCTCCAGACTCACATGTTTCCCTTTCCTCTTTTCCTCCAGTGGGACCACCGGAATTTTTACTTCCAATTTTGATTAACAGAAGGTCAGAGTTAAGTCCCCACCCCAAAGTGTGTGGTAAAGCTAAATTATTGTTTGCTTGAAACAAACCAGCTTCACAAACCATGGGTTGAAGTTGGCTTGTTTCAAGCAAACCATAATTAAGATTAACTACAATTAGTCCATAATTAAGATTAACTGCAATCTGGATGACCTAGCAAACTCTCTTTAGTACAGTGGTACCTCAGGTTACATACGCTTCAGATTACAGACTCCGCTAACCCAGAAATAGTGCTTCAGGTTAAGAACTTTGCTTCAGGATGAGAACAGAAATCGGGCTCTGGCGGCACAGCAGCAGTGGGAGGCCCCATTAGCTAAAGTGGTGCTTTAAGGTTAAGAACAGTTTCAGGTTAAGTACAGACCTCCAGAACGAATTAAGTACTTAACCTGAGGTAGCACTGTAAAAGAAAAGAGAAAGAAAAAAAGGGAAACCTTTTAAACTCCTCCATGTGGGTGCACTAGGCAAAGAGTTGAGAAGGGTGTGTGTTTGAATCTGAGGGGCACAAGCGGGTCTAGGCTCATTCCTGAGGCAATAAATTGCAATAAACATGGACATTTAGAAATACAACATGCCTTTCTGAAGCGCTGGGAGATGCTCTCTGACACTCACAAAAATAAACATAAAAGCAAGCAAGCAATTTTAGCTCAGCCCCGGATTTGAGCTGTTTGCTGCAGTTAAGGTCTTGTACTAATCTGCACGCTGCCAACTTGCTGTCTAACTTTGCTTTGCAGGTAGGAGATGCAAAAGATTAAATTCCTGAAGCAGCAAGCTGTGAGATGTTGGCGACCAGATGGGGGAACTTGACATGAATGATGTACACAATGTAATATAACCCCAGACATCTGAAGCTCCTGCAGTACTTAGACTCAACTGGGTGAGTCAAAGTCACAAAAGGGTAATCCTTGCCCATGATATAGTACTGTGAGAGCTGCCTGCTCAGGTCTATAAGCAATGATTATAACCCATGTGATTTATTTTCCCTTCAGTCAGCATAAAAAAACAGCTTATTGATTTCTTTCTCTCCCCACTGCCCCTACCCATATTGCTGATTATTATGTAGCAATTTCCTAACCTCTTCCCAGTTCAGCAGAGAATACTTACTATTTGCTAAATTGATATCCCACCTTTTTCTTTATAGATTTAATAAGTATTCTCTCTTCATATACCTCATAAGGATGGTCTCTCTCTCCTCAATTATCTGTTTTGCTCATGCATTCCGTTTGTGGATGATGTAAAACAAAATGATTGCAAACACCAATATGCCAAGATATTCCAATATTGTAAACTGTGGGGAAGATGCAACAAAATGGAATCTAACGAAGGCAATCTAAAGTGCTGAAACAGGAGGCCAATGAATAGAAGAAACTCAGACTTTATCCAGCCCATTACTTGTCAGTAGGGAGGGGGGTCATTCAAGTAGTAGCCTCCCTATAAGCAGAGAGAAGGAGCACCAATGTCTGCAAAGAAAAGCAACTTTCTAGTCCTCATCACTGTGTGGAAAGAGCATAAAACAGAGAATATTAACAAGGAAATGCGGAAACCAGAATGCAATTTAAAAGGAACACACAAACACACACGTACATATATTTTAATACTTTCTTGGGGCTTTAATTAATAAATTAGAACATTTGGTAGCCAGAAGGACCGGCATTATTGATAGGCAATTCAGCCCGTATGACAGGTGGTAGAATTCATTTTATGTTCAAAATAGACTGCTGATCAGTGACGGATGAAGCAAGGAAAGGATTGTCTGTAGCCAGTTGAAGAAATGAATCAACTCCAAAACAAAAAGCAAGCAACACCCTTGTTCCCAAAAATGGCTGGGATCCAAGATCTATTGGGGCTCATCCAAGAGTCTTGTGGCATCCCAATATAATTATGAAGGTCCCCCCCCCCCTTTGAACACCTGCCATTAGGTTTGTGTGCTTGTGTGTGTGTATGTTAAAATGCTTTTGAAACTTCTCATAGTTTGTCCTGCAACATGGGAAGGTCAGTTTTTCAAGGAAAAGCATCTCTAACCAGAACAAGACAAAGAAATGAGGTGTATAGGCAGGAGGAGAAGGTCTCCCATTGCATGGCATGGAAAATAGTCTGATGCAGTCCAGTGGACCAAAGTAACCAGCAGAGTTTGGGGCTAAGAGATAGCAAGGAATAGCCCCCCCCCAAAAAAAGAATCTGCTTTGTGTGTCTTTCAAAGACATGAAGCCATAATAATAATATCTTATTTATACCCCGCCCTCCCCGGCCAAAGCCAGGCTCGGGGCGGCTAACACCAGTAAAATTACAGTAAAAACATAAGGGGGGGGGACCCATTTAAAATACAGGTGAAAATGCAATTTCAAATGCAGCCTCATTTTAAAAGTAGCCCATAGATCAAAACCATAAGAGGAGGGAAATATAAGGGTCACACTGAGTCCAAACCAAAGGCCAGGCGGAACAGCTCTGTCTTGCAGGCCCTGTGGAAAGATGTCAAGTCCCACAGGGCCCTAGTCTCTTGTGACAGAGCTTTCCACCAAGTCGGGGCCAGTACTGAAAAAGCCCTGGCTCTAGTTGAGACCAATCTAACCACATTGCTACCTGGGACCTCGAAAATGTTGTCATTTGTCGGCCTTAAGGTCCTCCGTGGGGCATACCGTCCCCTAGGTATGTGGGTCCTAGGACGCATAGGGCTTCCAGGAATAGAATTTGCCCAACTTTCAAGTGAAAAATCATTTTTGCCATAATGTGGGTCCTAAAAAGGGGGCACACATTCTCCCACTGTTGTTGTTGTTGTTAAAATTTGAATGCAGCCCTTCATCTGAGGATCACAGCGTGGTTTACAATATGAACACATAAAATAGTAGCAAACAAAACAACAACACCTCCCCCCCCCCCAGTTTAAAAGGTCCTAGATTGTTTAATGAGCCCAAGGCCTGGAGGAAGAGGAAAGTTTTTGCATGACACCTAAGACATGTGACCAAGGCACCAGGCGAGCCTCCCTGGGGAGAGCACTCCACAAATGGGGAGCCACTGCAGAAAAAGCCTGTTCTCGGGTCTCCACCTTCCAAACCTCTCATGGAGGGGGCACACAAAGAAAGGCCTCAGATGATGATTGCAGGGTCTGGGTCGGTTCATATGGGGAGAGACACTCCTTGAGGCAGGGGAAGCACAAGCAGGAAGACAGGAAGTGCTCTGCCACTGCTGCCACTGCCATCACCACCAACCACTTTTTTTTCTCTTTTATGCTGGCTAAACATTTGTTTTTCAGCAGACAAAGATACTTTACTTAGTGAAGTTCTGTCAGACTCCTTCCTTTCCCCAGAGCTACAACTGTTTTGTACAAAGATACGGCAACTTGGGCTTTCAGAGGATCTTCTGGGTGCTGTGGCTTTTCCAACCACCAAGGCCATGTTAAAACACTAGGCTGTAGGACATAAATTGCCAGGAACTAATTTCAGCTGTGGAAAAACCATGTTCCCCTCTTTATTTTCGACTCTCTTGGATGCAGGAATTTAACCTCAATTATCTACAATTTTTGTTTAACCCGCAAGAAAGAAGGGCTTTGTCGCTGGCTAGGTTCAATTCTAATCCTTCGAACCTCCTTTGGGGTAGGTTCACGGGTATGGCCGAGGGAGATAGGATCTGCCCATGTGATGCCCATCTGGTGGAAACTCTAGCTCACATGGTCCTTAAATGTAAAATGTATGATGATCTCTGCCAACAATTCTTAGACCAACTATGTATCCCAATATGGAGACCAGAGACAGAGGTCATACGCTTCTTATTACAGGGGAGAGACCAAGAGCTCACCAAGACAGTAACTAAGTTCCTCTATTTGATTTTCTGCCACCGAAGTACGCTACAGGACCCTGCCCTTGCTGGAGACCCACAGAGGTGAAATAGATTGCTCACCTCTTCTTCCCTTTGGCAAATGACTGTACTGTTGAAATGGTGACGAGTTCACACTGGCCTATTTGTTCTGAATGTTTGTAAGTGATGCCAATAAAGGTTTGATGATGATGGTGACTTTTTTGCTCACTCAGAAGCTCAGACCGGATATGAATTTGAATCACAGTAGCCTAACAAAGGTGGGAGACAGAACTCAAATCACCTCTTACTTTTCATGAATCTACTGAAAACATTTGTAGACCTGTTGATTCTTTAGGAAATTTTTATGTTATTTCTTTATTGCAGTAACCAATGTGTGGTGCTTGCTCTGGTGTCAGAAAATGAGAAATATATTGCATTCCTCCCTAATTCTGGCATAATATCCTAGGCCTCTTTCTTTTTTTATAAGCAAACATTTCATAAATAATGTCAACCATAGCAAACAATTTAAAAGTGCTTAAGTCCTAAGTCAAAAAGCCAAACTACTACCTATGCTTATACAGTGGTACCTCAGGTTACAGACACTTCAGGTTACAGACGCTTCAGGTTACAAACTCCACTAACCCAGAAATAGTACCTCGGGTTAAGAACTTTGCTTCAGGATGAGAACAGAAATCGCGCGGCAGCGGCAGCGGGACGTCCCATTAGCTAAAGTGGTACCTCAGGTTAAGAAGAGTTTCAGGTTAAGAACGGACCTCAAGAACGAATTAAGTTCTTAACCCAAGGTACCACTATAAAAGGAAAGAAGACCATTCTGAAACATTTCCCTTTGAAATAATGGGTCTTTCAGAAATTGTTGACTTTGACTGGATCATGACCTTTGTCCCTCTCCACATAGTAAATCACTTTCTCTCCAGATCTTACTTCCTTTTGGAATGAAGATTGGCATTACTTTTTATTATTAATCACATAAAAAGCTAAATAAACAACTGAAATAAATTCAATTCTGGGATAAGAATATTGGTCTTGATTTTTCTTTCTTTTTCATTTCTTTCACTGAAGATTCAGTTGGTAGATGTTGTGGTATAGCACAAAAAAATCTTTGCTGTCATTTCAGTTTAGAGAAAACAGCACAACTTTGTCTAAAGCTGTATTACTTTGCTCCCAAGCTGAAGAACATTTCAACATGAAGAGTGAGTATCAGTTGCTCCACCTCAGGCTACAGAGAGAGAGAGATCTGACATGCCAATTTTGCGTGAGACTTATGCCTCATTAATATGCGGTTTGTTTGTTTTTTAAAAAAGAAAATGCATACAAAAATCTGTATTTAAAATGTGTACTTAACAGTCTCTCAAGGTGCACATTTCTACATGTATTTTATCCAAAAATACATAGTTATGCATTTTCAACCTAGAACCGAGGACTATTTCACAAAATTTGACAATACAAAAATCCAAAGGCTAATTACATTCTGATCCCTTTTATTAGTCCAAGAGATGAGAATTAGGCCAATAAATTTAAAAATGAGGGCCCAGTGAAATTCTCTTCCTTTCCTGTTTTCAGTCTCCAAATCTGTGAGTTGTGACCCATCAAAGAGAGCCATCTATTTTGTCCCATCAGGAGTTCTACACCCCAATTTTTGCAGCTCCAAACAAGCAGCTATGGATACCAGAAAACTTATCCAAGCTAGGGCTTTGGAGAAGAACTTTGGAGGCTTGTAAATGCTCTCACCAAAGGTTCTGTGAGTATTTCAAGCTCTTGAATTCTTGTCCAGCTTGGATTAAATTGCTATCTAGCTTGCCCTTGGCACACAGATCTGCCATTCAAGAACTATGAGATGTTTGCAATCTGCCAATGATCTCAGGGTGCCCTCGAGTGCTGCACTGGCAAAGCTGGAAGGTGTGAAGGAAGCCCAGCCACTGCAAATAACCCTTGGGAATAGAGATTCTCTCTGAAGAATAGGCTCCCTCCTCTACCTGGTTCTTGCTCTGTTGCATCTTTCTACATCCACATTAAATCTAATGGAGCAATTGAGGGTATGGGCAAGGTTAAAGCCGTTCATAGAAGACATGTTGACTAGTTTCTATCTTCACAATCTCCAGGAGGGAGGTGTTTCCAAATTGGATTGACTCACACTAGGGTTGCCATATTTCAAAAAGCAGGACATCCCAAAAGTTGTTGAGCCTTTATTAGGAACCTCCCTCCCCCCAAAATGTGATTTTTCGATTGACTTGCTAAGGAAATCCCACCCACCCCTACCCCCGGATGTCAATTCTGCCTTTGAAATCCCAGTAATGTCCTGGAAAATCTCGACTTATGGCAGCCCTACTCACACTATGAGCCACGCCATTTTTCTATTCATTTGCTTGTACATCTCTATAAGCAACAAAGACAAGAAGTTTATCAAACCCCCGTTGAGCCACTCTACATGGCTGGTGGCCTGCTGTTTGCTTAGGTGACATGCTGAATTCAATAATGCATGCAGGTCCAGCTATATGCCAGCTCACTATGTGAAAATTCACTTATCTGAACACAAACCATTATGCCCAAACCTTGCTATATGCTCCACAGATTCAGATATCTGAACAGCCAGCTTTGTTACTTCCTTGCTTATTTGTACTTTGCTGCCTTTTCTGAGCAGAAGCCATGCAAGAAGGGAGGGAGGGAGATCAGACAAATCAGAGAACAGGAAAGATTGGACAGATCGGACATCAGGAAAGGTCGGACAAATAAGTATTTCCTTTGTCTCCCTTTTGCTGGTTGGCACCAGCCATTTCAGGAAAACACCATGGAGAGAGGAGGGAGATGGACAAATGCTAGTTTAGAAATGTTCCCATTGGAATCAGTGGAAATTGTGGACATTTGCCTAACTAACAATTTCTAGGGAACACATTGTGTCTGGTAAGCAGGGCCTGCATGTAATGATAATTACTATTTTTATTTGTGGGAGAAAAGCAATGGCAAACCTAGACAGCATCTTAAAAAGCAGAGACATCACCTTGCCAACAAAGGTCCATATAGTTAAAGCTATGGTTTTCCCAGTAGTGATGTATGGAAGTGAGAGCTGGACCATAAAGAAGGCTGATCGCCAAAGAATTGATGCTTTTGAATTATGGTGCTGGAGGAGACGCTTGAGAGTCCCATGGACTGCAAGAAGATCAAACCTATCCATTCTGAAGGAAAGCAGCCCTGAGTGCTCACTGGAAGGACAGATCATGAAGCTGAGGCTCCAATACTTTGGCCATTTCATGAGAAGAGAAGACTCCCTGGAAAAGACCCTGATGTTGGGAAAGATGGAGGGCACAAGGAGATGGGGACGACAGAGGATGAGATTGTTGGACAGTGTTCTCAAAGCTACCAACATGAGTGTGACCAAACTGCGGGAGGCAGTGGAAGACAGGAGTGCCTGGCGTGCTCTGGTCCATGGGGTCACGAAGAGTCGGACATGACTAAACGACAAAACGACAACATTTTTATTTGTTGCCTGCCCATCATTATCTTTTCCACTGAGTCTATGCAACCTATGGTTTGGAAAGGTGAATATAGCCCATTGAGTCAAGTGAGCAAACAGGAGTATTTTCAAGAACCAGCCATGTTCAGCTTGGTGAGACCTGCTCTTAACAGAGCGCAGGAGGAGCATAAAAAAGTAACCAGGGAGAAGCAAATTGAAGCAAATGTCTACATAGTAGAACTTTTAGTTCAAAGTTCTTCAAGCTTGAAGAAGTTAGTAACGCTGTGAGTGGGAAGGTGATCAAATAAAAAAGTGTTGTGGTTCCAAAGCCATCTTCAGCTGACATTTATTATATCTGCTGTCTCAGTGAGGTAACGTGGGGGGAGAATAAGGGCCTCTGTGACAGTCAAATAAGATATTGATCAGAATGGTGCCAGCTTTGAAATACTGTAGGCGGCTCTGCAGTAAGTCTTTTCAAAGGACTGTGCAAGCTCACAGTCTTGATTTGCTGAATGAGAAACAGGCATGGACACTGATGCTTCATCGTTTGGATGTTAACAGGCCTCATCCATCTGAACCCCTGCATTGTTGCAGAGAAGACTCTTAACACTTCAATGGCAAGAGGAAAAGTATTTCACAAGGACCAGCTAGGACCTAGTTCTCATTTCAGGGGCAAATCTTTGCCTGGACTTGCATTTCAAAGCACCCATTTGGTCTTCTTCAGGGCCTAGAGTGGACAACACAGAACTCCAGCTAGTTCAAAACCAGTTCAGTTTTGCTCCAGCAAATGGAAAGCTGCATCTCTTACAGAATTCTGCTTGGGTCATATCTCAGCAGCAAAGCAGTGTGCAAATCAACTAGTGAGGAAATCTTTTTATACGAGAGAGCACAAAACTTTGGCTCATAGCCAAAAAAACACTACTGCACTAGCTTAAGCAAGATTTCTTTGCATTTAGCCCTTTTGTCACTGGGAAAGTGACAAGGATGTTTTCCTGCAAATTCACAAGTTTAATCTTATGGGGGAATTATTCTGTGTGCAAACACTGCCTCTCTAACACATACCACTTTCGTGATCTCAGCACAAGTGGAAAAGAATCATTTGCACTTGGAAAACAGCTCTGAGCGGCAATTTGCCAGAGTGTTCCAGTCCCCCCCCTTTTTTTGCTCCCTGTGAGAAATGGTTTTTGTGTCTTTGAAAAATGTAGGGCAAAAAAAAGAAAAGAAAGAAAGAAAGTGTTTTGCTCTTTCACCAATTGTGTACAATAGGACTTTTATTATGCAGGTGTTTGGCTGACGCAAGCCTAAGATGGTTAGTCTTTGTGATTCATTTAGGATGTCCGAAGAGCTGATCGCAACTTTTAAAGTGTGTGTGTGTTTTATATATAAAAAAGGCAGTTTAGCACCTCATTTGGGGTAATTAATGTGCATCTCGATAGAGGTGCACCTAAGCATGAGGTTGGCCTTGAATGTTTGGTACAATCCCGTTAAGTTGTGGGTGAACATATCAGACGACACAGCGATTCTTCAAACAGCTCTTGTTTATTTACAGACCCAGAACAGAACTGAACTGAAGGGTTCAGCCAGCCTGCTTATATAGAGCTCCACTACAATGCAACAGTAACATCTTTCTGTAACTATCCAATCACTGAATGTCACTTTCAATTCCTTATTTGCATATGTGGACCTGAGTGAAAACTATCTACAGTATCTCCCTGCTGGCCCAAGATGAGAACTTCAGTAC